GTTAATTATTAATCTGTTTTCAATAAATTTCAATTTCAATTTCAATTTTTCAATTTCAATTTCAAAAAAGTTGTTTACGTCTAAGCTATATATTTGTTAAATGTGTTCGAGGACTTTGGAGTAAATTCAGTAAGTGATATAGGTGTGAAGCAATCGGCGCGCATCAACGAGCCGATCGTGTCGGTGAGCGCGGCGGACGGCGACCTGCGCGAGAACGGCAGCGTGCGCTACGCGCTGGCCGCCTCCCACCTCTACAAGCTGGGCGCGCGCCGCGCCAGCGGCAGCGTGCTGCCCTCGCCCTTCAACATCACACAGGATGGTACGGAAACTTCACACTATACGGCCTTAACTAAAGGTATTCTGTACCCCTCCCACCGTCTATTTGATAAAACCTCAGTAATATTCGGTTAAATCTGGAGCTTAAGCTAAGCTTAATTAAACCTATATTAGAATATCGTTTAGAAAAAACTCTTACTAAAGAGAGCAATACTAAGGTAACTTATTTTTTTTTCTAGGCTCTACCTCTCCCTCTAGGCCTCCATTGCAAAAGGTTATCGCCCACTTTGGGATTGGTTTAAAGGTCAAATCATTCAAATACATAAATTGGCCAAATTCTAACCATTTAGCACTGAATTTTGAATTTTAAAATAACAATGACAATGTTGCTGTGTACTTTGTGACTTGTTTTATAACATGTGAAGTATGTGGGTGGGAAATAAACGTCCTCTACTGTGCAGTATTACGCATTGTTAATTTGTATCTGTCCGTGTACAGGGGTCCTCATGACGGCAGCGTTCATGTCGGAGTACAGCCAGGACCGGTTCGTGCTGGACGTGATCGCGGAGGAGGTGGCGCCGCCGCACCGCCGCGCCTCCGCCAAGGTCTATGTGAGTACTGATTTCTACTAAATTCTACGACAACTTTATATGAAGTTTAGCTAAGTACACCATTAATATCCCGATACCTCTTAGAAATCCCGGGACGTTCCCTCTCTTGACCATCCACTTTAAAAGTCAGGTTATTTCGTTTAATGTTGTTTAGATACTAGTTTCTTCGACGAAATGATGGGGACATAAACCAGAAAGTGTTAAGATTGGATGTGGATGGCTACAAAGGAAGAGGAAGACCGAAGAAAGTATGGATGGATTGTGTGAAAGAGGATATGCTTAAGAAAGGAGTGGATTCAGACATGACAACTGATAGAGATGTATGGAAAAGCAGCACATACTTTGCCGACCCTCCCTAAGGGATAAGGGCAAGTGGATGATAGATACTAGTTTCTTATGATTAGGTTTGAGTTTCCAATATTTCGGCACAGAATAAATAGAACGATACGCCTATTTTTAATGCTTTTTCTATTAGATATTTCTTATCCGA